AGGCATGGAAATATCTGCATAAATTTACTTCTAGGAAGCAGTGGAGACCAGATACACTGCCAACCCCGCTCTCATTTTTTAGCCTACTTTTAACTATTCACTACAACCATTAAATCTGCCCAATAAATAGATGACAGAAGGGTAGGGATGCTGATGTTTCCACCAGTGACCTTGGGTTACTTACAGTTTGGTTATCTTGTCTACATATGGTTATGCAGAGATGGCAGAGTCAGATGCAGCAGTGTTCAGCCACAGGCCAGAACTTAAGCATTTTGTACTACCAGGCGTGGCCCTGGCTAAACACCAGTCAACATTTAGAAGACTGATCTTAACCTAGAAAGCAGGAGGGATGTGAAGCTTCAGTCAGGAGAGTCACCCTAAAATTGAATTTCTAAAATCTGCTTCTGCTGGGGAACTCTTTCTGTGGGACCAAGTTCCAGCATGCTCCTTTTCCTGAGAGAAAGCCACCATGCTAGGCAGAGACCAGCTGGCAAGGTTTCATGTGAGGGTGCTGAAAATGGTACCTGGCCCCACACTGTGCCATGTGCAGACATGCAGCACTTTGACATCATCCAGGCAAGAGTTTGGCTTTTTTATGGACTAAAAGCAAAAGCACTTGAGGCATCTACCTGAAAGAGCTAGGGAAGAGAAAGCAAAGGCTGGTTATTGCAACTGCAGCCTTCCAGAGAGGAGTCATTTAGCTTTCAGGTCTCCGCTGATCCCACGTATTCTAGGCACTATATGGGCACTGCAAGGGCAGAGCCTTGGGAAGAACCTGGGACAGAGAAAACAAGGCCAGAGTGTGCTCTACAAGTCCACAGCCCTTGTTTCCTAGGCAGTGGCCTTTCAGGCATCTGTTAGAGGGCTTTGGGTATAGGTGGGAGGCCAGAGCTAAACATTCTCTTCCGAGAATGAAGACTGGGCTTGGAGCCAGAGGCCATAACTCTACTCTCAGTCCTCCCAGTCACTAATGTCATGATTTCAGGCAAGATAGTCACCATCCCTGGGCCTCAGTAACCTCATCTGTAAAACAAGAGGAATAGTGGGCTGATTGCAAAGATCACTTGCAGGACCGAGATTCTGATTTCTCTTTTCTCAGGAACAAATTCAGTATTTTCTTTGTTACTTTTTGGATTTTATATTTGTACCAAAAGCACCCTCTAACTTCCTTTCCCATTCTTTATTAATATTCAAAAAGAAATCCACCAATAACTGTTAGAAAGTTTCAAGAGCATGTTCATTTTTTCCAGTTAAGTATGGCATGTAATTACCATTTCCTTTTGTTTACTCAATTTTTTTCAGAGTAGAAAAGTCACTTTTAAAGTATATCAAATATTACACAGCAGTAAAAGAGAGAAGTCTTAAAATCCAAAGTTAAATATGACCATTTTCCTATGTTTGAATATTTGAACACCCATGATTGATTCTGAACTTTACAATCTGGTAAGATAATACATTTTAAGGTAAAATGAGGCTTGCCAGTTAGAGAGGATAACTGACTTACTCAAAGTCACAAAAGATTTGAGGTCAAGCCCAGATCACCGAAACAGATGCTCAATCATCCTTTCATAATAGATCTGTATCTTCCTAAACAACCTGCCTTTCTAGATTCTCTGCTACTATTCCTGGTTTAGAAATGTGTACTTTATACATGGCTAGGTCAAAACTTATTGCAACAGAACCGTGGCCAGAACTGTACTTGACCTACTAGGCTCATTTTTCTTGAAGTGGGAAATGAATTCCACCAAAGGCATTCCATCCCTACTTCCTGAGAGGAGATACTCATGAGTCAGAGAGCCTAGGAAACCCAGAGTTCAACCCCCAGGTGTCTACACACCAGGAAGGTTACAGTTAGGAGGAGACTATGAAAAGATGGGAGTTTTCTTGGCATTTCCTGGCTGATGACTGAATTAGGTGAGACATGGACCTGTAGCCTTCTTCACAGCTAAGAGCCAGGAATAACCTGGCCATTTGTCTCTGGAAATCTGCTTCCAAAGTGGAAAGAAAATGATCAACAAATGCAAAACTAGGAAGAAACTAGAGGCAGCACGGCATTAGCCTTCTTTCTCCTGGCAGGTCAGTACGCAGCCATCATGCTTCTATTTCTACTTCAGGTTCTGTTACTTTCTATGGTTTCAGAGTCTGTATGTCTGTTTAAATATTTCTAGACTTGCTAATCAGAGTACAGGGCCCCCCTCTTCTCACACACCCTAAGGAAAGGCATACAGAGGTACCTGTTGCCCACCTACAGCGAAATGCCTGTGGAGACTCTCCCTCTCAGTGAGAATAAACCTTACTCATGTACTCCTATCAAGCTTTCTATTACTGCAGTCACACATTATAATTCCTAGAACAGCCAGCCACAGATCTGCTGGCTAGACTGACAGGTCATTTGTATCAAGTATGCGTTAAGACAAGGCAAAGGTAGGACAGATGTGAAGCATTTAAAGGAGACAGATCTATGGGGAAAGCAGTGTCTCACTGTTGCTTTTCTGGGATGCTGGACTAATTGTGAAAATGCAAAGGTAAAGGCGATCTCTGTTTAAGACTGGGAAGAAGGCATTCTAAGAGGTCTCTGCAACTTCAGCACCACAGACTCAGCACTGCCCCCAAGCTCTTCTGTAACAGGCTTTTATTGCTTTAATTAACCAAGGTGAAGTGGAACAGATTTACTGTTATTTTTGCCTGCCAGTGGCCAGCAACAGCTCTTTACCTCTTGCCCTTTATGCCTGGCCTGTACAATTAGTGCCTTATTATAGGCTGGCATCTCATCTTAACACCACCTGTCTCAATAGAGCACTTTATTTCATTGTCTTGTTCATGGGTTAGTTCAAGTGTCTGGGCCCCCCTGCTATCGTAACTCCTAAACTCCTTTCAGGCAGAGGTGCTTTCAGTTCCTTATCCTTGCAGACTCACAAGAACAACTGGGACTCACAGGCAGGTGAATAAACATTTCCTGACTATTTGAAGAGCTTCTGCATGTCTACTGGGAGTAAGACACATGGAATCCAGGTCTCCAGGCCTATCTCAACCGTCTGTACCCGATCCATTGGGTTTCTCTGCTGTTGAGGGCTCTCCTCAGCTACTCAGAGTTAAGCTCTACTCGGCCCATAGATATATAACCTTTTCTCTTATCTAAAAGGTTTGGCTGAAACAGATAGCTTCCCCTCAGCACCACATTCTATGTTCCTCTAGAAATAGGAGTCAAGGGATGCGAATTTATGCATGAACAGACTCCTTGTTTTGGGGATGAAACCACAGCTCACAGGGCAGTTACCAGTTCTACAACAAACATATGCCCCCTTCACCAAATACTCTGGTGAATGGAATGAAAACTGGGGGGTACTGTATAAGGGGATGGTTAGGAGTGCAAGTATGGGAGCTAGACTGTGTGGTCTCAAATCATGGCTCTGTCACTTATTAGTTATGTAACCTTGGTCAAGACAATTAATTCTCTCCACTTCAGTTTCCCAATCTGTATAATAGGGATAATTGTACCAGCCTCATAGGTTATTGTGGGGACTGAATCAGTTAATCTTTGTAAAGTGTGTTAGAAAAAGCTTGGAACATAATAAGCATTATATCAGTTTGTATTAAATAAAACTAATAGACCTACAGAACAACATGCCCCCAAAAGAATCTGACAAGAAAAACCAAGCTGGTTTAGCAAAATATAGTGGCATCATTTGCTTCTTGATTTTCTGGCTAACATATATTCTTTGGATTGCTTTAATAAATTTAAAAAAAAGAGCTCTAAATTTATGGGTTTTAAAATGCCTAATGCATCAACACAACAAATGTGATAAAAATGCTCTGGCAGCATTGGAGCAGAATGATTAGTGAAGGTGTAATTATTTTAGAAGAGAATTTAAAATGAAGGTTCTACTGTTTACACTTTGCTTATGTACTTAGCCTGACATGTCAGCCATCATTCCTGATATTATTTAGCAAATACTGCCAATGCTTCTGCAGCAAGGAACTTTTAGTCAACTATCAGGGCAGCAGTTCAAATATGTGTTTTATATTTTTAAGGACATATTGAGATATTTTTATAGAAAGATGATTCAATGGTATCCAAACTCAGACCTAACTTTCTGTCTTTTCTGATTTGTCCACTTGCTGTCAGTTTTTAAATCCTCAATTCTCTTAAGTATCCTAGCTACTAAAATTCCATGTGCAAGGTCTACTTTCTTAGCAATCAATCTTTAGCACAAAATACCATATGCAACATCAGCAGTCCCTTGTTATTGCATCATAGAGTTCCTTACATAGAGTTCAGGCATCCAACCACACACAAAGGTGTCTATGCCACAACAGGCGGGGCACCATGCTTTCATTAGCGAGGAAACCCTCTGGCCTCACCTCTCTCTCTTTCCCTGGAGGGTAAAGGCCAACCTTGCAAGATGTCTTCCCTGTAGGTGCATCTGCCGAGAACTATGAAGAGACATATGAAAATACCACTGTCCACTTTACTAAGGAATGATCATCTTCTGGGGACTCAGCAGTTTAGTGTTTAAGGATGTGGGCAGGTACTTCTTATCTGTACTCTTCCTCTGACCCACCTCCCTATCCCAGTGTACCTATTACTGCCACCATTATAACTCTTAACCACCTTGTTCTGTGGTTATGTTGGCCTGGGAGCTTTCCTCTCTGCCTGGGGAGCCTCTCTAGCCAGAGAGGTGTTTTACTTCGTGTTCCAAAGGTAACACAAAGCCCATACACAGTAAGCTCCTGATAGTTATCTGTGAAAGGGTACTGAAGCTGCTTGCTACCAGAGAAACACCATTCTTTGGATGATCAGGTTGTCATGGGTTACTTTCACTTTTGAGGAAAGGGAGGTTCCTCAAAAATGGGACATTTGTAAAGTCATCAGATTCCGCTTTTCACTTCAATCACTTTGGGTTAACGCTACCCCATTTATCCACATGGCCCCATTAAAATGTGTACCTTACCCTGTCTGCCCCTCCTTAATGGGCTCCTTCAGTGACCCGCATATTCACCTTGTAGGTATCCTTTCTGGATATCCAAGGCCTGCACTCCTACTCGATCACCGCCGAGGCTGGCCCTTTTTTGGGCAGCTGTCCACAGCTCCCAGTGGTCACTCCATCAAGCCGGGGATTCCACCCGCTGCTGGGAAGCGCTGGGGATACCGGGGCACCGCGCCCCTCATCAATGCCAGTTACTAAGACTCTCCCGCTACTCTCTTTGGAACAATGCTCGGGCGACCACCCGGGGCAAGGAATCCTGAAAGGTCCTGGATCAGCGTTTGGTCAGCTCCTGGGAGAGGCGGGAGGCGATCCCTGGGGGGAGTGAGGACGCCTCACGACTAGTGGGCACTCACTCCTGGCCCGACCCTTCCCACGGAGACCTAACAGAGCTTCATCTCATCGACTATATTCTTCAACAATCCTAGGGACCACAGAAATGCTGGACGGGGGGTCGGAGGAGGTGTACCGGGGAAGAACGAGGACACAAGCCCCCGGGCCAGTCACGACGTCTGCCTCTCCTGATTCTGGGTAGGTCTCTTTTGGTCTACTCTCGGCTTCAACTCCAGCTCTGAGCAAACTGCGCCGCGCGCCCTTCCCACTGCAAGTCCTCCGACTCTGGCCCGGGCCCTCGCCTTTCGCACTTTAGCTTTTTCTCCAACCACAGTTCCACCTCCCAACTGACCGTGAAGCCGGAGGCAGTTCCCCAGTTCCAGGCCCCCGGTGGGGCACCCGCTGCCGCCGCCGTCGCCTTCCCCTGTAGCCCCCGATCCGGGACCCGGTCTCGAGCTGCAGTGATGGTTCCCCTGCACGAGGCGCTGCGGCTCCGGGATTCGTCCTGACACGGGGAGGCGAGCAGGAGAAGCCCATTGAGATACCAGCGGCGGCAGCGGCGGCGGTGGCGTCGGCGACTGCAGGAGCGGCCGCCGCGCAGGATGATGACGGACAAGCGCAGGGGGAGGGGAGCGGTCAGCATGGGGAGACGCGGGGGAATGACGAGCGGCGCGCCGGGCGGCTTGGCAGCATGGCGTCCGTTGCCTTGAGCGAGGCCGAGAAGGTGTATATAGTGCACGGCATTCAGGTAGCTACTGCAGCGGCGTGGGCCCCAGCTCCAGGGTCTTCTGGCAGGCCCTTGGGCCTTCCGTGAGGAGGCGGCCGCTCTGCGGCAGGCTGGGCTGGCCTCGTCATTAAATAGCTCTGCGGCCGGCATTTGCGGCCCGAAGCTCGCAACGCGACGTGTTTAGGACCGGGCGGCGAGCGTCCTTTTAGGGCTGTATGCGTACTTGCAGCCTGCTGCTGGGTCTACAGTGTCCGAGAGCCGGCGGGAAGCGGCGGGCAGCCCCTGAGTCCTTTGCTTAGCGAGGGAGAACCGCTCCCAGGGCCATCTCTCTTCAGCCTTCGACTATCGCGTCACTAGGCTGAGCCTCACTTTTCTGGGAAATGTAGTCTGGCTTGGGCTTGTGGCCCACTTTTCTTCAACTAGTGGTTGGGAGGCACAGGGAGGCGAGGCACAGGGAGAGAAGTCATGAAGCGGAAAGCCCTTTGAAAATATAAATCATCTTACAAATAAAGGGGGAAGGATGTTTAAAAAATGGCTTCACGGTTGGTAGCATAATTGTTGCTGTTTCTTATTTTGCCAATGAGCTAAGATCCCTAGAGGCAGCTGTGACTATAGAAAGATCTGTGCGCAGTCGTCAGTCCCTGGTATTGACCACTACAGGAGGAGAGTTGGAGAATGTTGGGCCTGGTAATTAGCTACCAAGAAAAGCCAACCTCTCCAGGTTAGACAGGTCTTCTCAAACGTCTGGCCAGAGCCTAGCCAGGATCCTGTTCTTGCACGTATAGATATAATCATTTTGTGTTTTACTTTTCATCTTTGTTCCATTATGGTCAAATTCAGCTTCTGGAACTCCCTTTCCATTAGTTTCATATTCTTTTGTTATTTAAAAGATGAATAAAATAAAGGCATAAATATAAGGTGGAGGAAGCATGGAGCCACACGGGTGGGCTGCGGTGATTATGGAAGACCAGGTTGCAGAGGTGGCAGTCCTATGGGTCTGTAGGTACTTAGGTAACATTGAGTAAGGACTTTAAAGGGAGATGAATTCGGCAGTATTTTCTTTTCAAATTTAAAAAATTTTAAGTTTTAAAGTTCTCTCTCACCAGTTCCATGGGTATGTTATGACCACAAGGGTTGGTAAGTGCTCTTCTCTGTTTATCCCAGAGCTATACAGAGTAACTGACTAAACTCTTCATAAGGACTATTAATGTTGGCCATAAATTTGCTGTATTTATGGAGAAGGGAAACAGAATTCTGTATTTATGGAGGAGCAAAAGGGAATTTACACTCTGAATAAAGGTCAAATGCAGCTAAATGAGCCTATCACAGGATCTCCACTGCCTCGATTCTAAAATTGCTCAAACTTTTGTTTCATTGGTCTTTGAATGCGAGCAGTGTACTTTGAGCAATGTCTGGTTGGAGTCCTGTTGTTTTCCTACACAGACCTAATCATTTTTTGTTTTATTTTCGCCTTTGGTCTGGTATGGTCAGTTTTGGCTTTTGCCATCCCTTTTCTTTCAGCCTTTGATTCTTTTATTAGTTCAGGGGCATTTCGTCTTGGTTTGTTGGTAGTTAGAAGCAGTTGAAATTAACCTCACGATGTGTTTAGGATTCAGTTGCTATAATGGTGGCCAATAAACTAGCTCAAGCAAAAAAAAATGTACACATTAGAAGGCTACAAGTGTTCCTGCAGGGATTCAAGGGCATCTGCAGGCTCTCCTTGCTCATCTCTGCTGCTGCTTATGCGTTTGCTTTTTTCTTATTTTTCTTCAGGTTGGCTTTCTGTGTTTCAGGCCATGTGGTAGAAGGAATGCGGTACCTCCCAGCTCCTGGGGTTGCAGTTCCTCTGTATAAGAAATCAGCCCTTCCACTTCTGTTCTGAACTCATGTTCCTGGGAGGAAAAATTATTTGGTTGAGCTTGGGTTGGGGGAAAAGATGGAGAGAATCATTAGGTTCAAACATGGCCACTGGGGGATGAGACACAGCTGAGAGAGAAAGCAATCTGTAAAAAAGGAGGATGAATCATTTTCGATCCTGGCAGAAAGTGGAATCCAATTCAGATAATTCAGGAGACTTTTATGATGGGATTCTTTCTAGCAGTATGGGTGGGTTTCAGGGAACCAGCAAGAGACATTGAGTAGCTCAAAGACTAACAACCACAGTGAGTAGCTTAAGGGGCCAAGGAAGTAAATAGCATTACCAGATGCCAGTGGTAGCTGGAGCCATGGAGGAAGAGTTGCCCAACAGAGATTGTAGGCTTGGGTAGATACAGGCATTGTTAGAAATGTGGCCCTAGGTTGTGGGCAGCGGGGAGGGGGCAGGAGGAGCACTCCCTGATCTTCTGGACCTCCCATTGGCCAAACCCAACCAGACGCCAGCAAAAGGAATCCAGGTGATGTGGTTTGAAGGGAATCAGCCAGTGCACAGATTAGGGAATGGTTTTAAGAGAGTGGCATGGTAAATGGAAAGGTTGATAAATCAATATTTGAATATATGATTGATTAGTTTCTGTTAAGTCCCCTCTCAGCCTTTGAAGGCTGAGATGTCCCCACTTTTGTTAGGTACATATTATATCATAATTTTTATCTTTCTGAATCTTTATAGTAGTCCTGAAGGTAAATATTACTATCTATAGATGGGGAACTGAGCTCTGACGTGTTAAGTCCCTTGTTCAAAGTCACACAGAAAGTGCAGGGAGCTGGGATATCAGTCTAGACCTTTCTGACAGCAAAGCCCATTCTCAGCTCTTTTGCCACTTTCCCACTGCAGTGAACGTCATTGTCTTGCATTCTGTAAATAGGGATCCAAAGGTCAAGGCCAAAGGGAATCCCCACTTCTACTTCTCCTTCTTTCTCCTTTTCTTCTGAAAGCATGTGGGAAACAGGAAAGGGTTGGAGTTCTGACCCTCCCATTTTTCTAGAACTTAAACATCATATGACACATATTACTGTGTTATCATTTTGGTATTTCTCCCACATTAATTAGAATTTCCTTTAGAACCCTATCTTGCAAATCTTTGTTGAACTTTTGTTTTACTAACTTGCATCTCAAACTGTTCTTTTCTCTGTTTAAAATATTCAGAAACTTGGAGGCAGATTTCAGAATTTCCAGAATTTAGGATTTATCCTCTTTTTGGGTTTGCTTCATCCTTGAGAAGACATTGCTAACCTCTGGCTTAGCCCAATGATTCTGAAGCTTTGAAGTGTCTTTTATTCACACACAAAGTACAGATTTAGGCTTTGCCTGTACCTTCTGAGCCAGAATATCTGGGGCTGGAGCCTGGGAGTAAAAGTTTTTATAAAGTGTTGGGAGATTTTGATGCAGCCACCAGACACTAGTCCATAGGCAAACTTCTGGCCCAGTCTAAAGTGTGCTGTAGAAATCTCTGCTCCCTCCTGTCTGAGGTCACATGGTTTCCCATCTCTGTGTGAGGACCTGGAGTCAGACTGAGCAGAGTTCCTTTCCTAGCTCCACCATTCACAGAAAGAGTGATTTTACCTGAGTAAAATGAGACTACACCCCTCTCTGGGCAGAATGAGATTGTGAGGAATGTTTAGAGACTATCACGTACCAACATTAGCCCACCTGGCAGAGATGTTGCCTCCCATTCAGGTTTGTTTTTGCCATCAGAAGTGTCCTAAACCATCCACACTATATCCCCAACCTTCATAGTGACCTCATTCCAGGGTTCATCCTGTGACCATTGAGACTTAAGCTCTTTTGATTTGGAGGACTTCAGCTTGTTATCTCAAGAAAAAGGGGATTTGTGTCAAGGGCTGGAAAATCCCTAGGCAGTTCTGGGGCCCCACCATGGTCTTTGTGACTGCCTGCCTGTCTTTATGTCTGTGGTGACACCTCCACTTCTCTCTACTGAAGTGTGTCCCTTCTCTGAAGCTGATGGCTGTCCTGCCTCCCTTCACCTTGGTAAAACTGTCCTCCTACCTCTACTACTGTGGCCTCTCCAGCTCCCTCCTCTCCATGACCTGTTAGCTCCTCTTTAATTCCCTTCCTCTCTCATGTATTTCCCAGGTCAGAGATAAGCTTCTAAGGAGAGAATCAGTTTCATGCCAAAAAGAGCTGGTCACTCTCTGGGTTGTATGTCTTTGGGTCAGGCACCTAATGCTGGTCCTGGCTGTGGGAGCTGCATGGCAACTCTGTTGTGTGACCTCAACAGAGCTCGAGGTTTGATAGGCTTTCCAGAGTTCTGCCTGTTGGGTGCTGTGGCCATGGCTTAGACATTAACCTGGGCGTCATAGTTTTAGACCAGGCCATAGCAGTTGATTAGCTCCACCAAGAGGTATTCCTCTTGGGGCCTTGTCAAAGCCATTTCATAGAGTTTTGCTTGGCAGTTGAGGGGAGGTGTACCTCAGCTGATGGTTTCAGCTTCTTTTCTTTGGATCTAGCTTTAATCATAAGCATTGTTGGGGGAGCAACTCAGAAAAAGGAGAAGAGGTCCAGGCCTGGTCTTCAGGTGTGAGACTGAGCTGTCAGTACTCAGCTGCTCGAACCAGCCATGCAGAACTGGAACCAGCCCCCAGGACTTCTGATTCTGAGCCTTGTGCCCTTTCCATTTACAGACCCATGGCACAAAAAGTGTGCCCAGGCACTTTACAAGGTGAATGGGATCACATCCTTTCAAAGGAATGCAGATCTGCTCCCAGACTTGGAAAGTAAAGGAGGATCACCATCTGGTTTTCCTGTTGTGTCTTGGGCCTGCAAAGCTGGATCAGATGTGGTTCTTTACCTAAGTGGGGTCCCTTTCTATCTGGGGAGGCATTCTGGTCTGGGTTCTCCTCTAGCAAGCTCTGAGGTGTTGGACAAGTCAAAGCAATGTAAAGGAGGTCAGCATCATCTCAGAGGGCCACTTTGAGTCTGAATCCTCCCAAGTGTGTTGCATCAGCAGAGCTGACTTGTCAGCTTCTATTTAGGAGGCATAGGACCAGGTTTCCTGAGTGTGAGGAAAGCACCATGGATCGAGTCCTGTGTCATTCCACTGTGTCACAGACAGAAGAGTGAAGCTTGGCAGCTCAATGTCCTTAACTGTATCCTCTGTCCAGTGTTGTTTCTGAGGACTCAGTGAACTAATACCTGCCCCCAGACACCAGAGGAGGGAATGCTGAGGGGGTTGCTTGTGCTCCACTGTACCAAGGGTTCCTCTTACATGATTATGGCTTTTGGATTCTTTTATGACTCCGTAAGGTTGGGGTTATTCCCACTTGCTAGACAAAGAGACTTAGAGCTGTTGAGGAGCTAACTTGCTCAGGTCACAAAGTTGGTCTGTGACGGCAGAAATTTAAGTTAGGTTGGAGGTGCTTCTACCACACCACACCCAAACAGCAGGGTCGTTTTGATCACATAGGTTAACAGCTTGCAATGTCCAGGAGCCATCCCTGCATCCAGAAACCCTGTATGTAGAAAGGTGCTTCAGTCGCTCTGCTGAGAAAGACAGGGCTCCACTCCACAGTGTTGTCCATCACCTGCTGACATCTCTATTGATTTTTTAAAGGGAGCTTTCACTTCAGGGCAGCCCCTATTTAAGTGTTCACACATGGATTACTTCCTTTGCTCCTGAGTACTACAGATGAATATGGTAATGTGGTAGGGCTCTGAGTCAGGCCAAGCCGGTTTTGGTGATTTCCTAAGCCTTTTATGAGGAAAACAATTTTTTAAAAGTCCTGGGCATAGTGATTCATGAACTAGTTCATTTTGTTTTTTGGTTTGTCTTTCTCATATTCTTTTGGGTGCTTTTTCTGTGAAAAAAAAAAAAGAATAAGCAGCCTTGGAAAGGAAAATTTGTAGCTTTTTGTTTATTTCTTACTTGTCACCTGAGACTTTCCCACTGGGCCCTCTGCAGCGGGCAGAGACTGATTTAAAGGCTGGAAGGGCAAGATCTAGTGAGGTCCTGTTTTCTGACACCCTCCTGCCCTGCCTGGAACAAGTGGGTTGTCATTGCAGAGGTTGTGACTAGATCTTCCCAGAGTGAGTGGTATGTTGAAGCAGGATCAAGTGGGAGAGCCCGCCAGTTCATCTGTCAAGGGAGGATAGTGCTGACTCCTGCTGCGCAGTGAAGAGACCCTTCAGAACACAGGGGTCTGTGTAGAATTGTGTGAAGTGTTCTGGCTTGGAATTCAAGTGCTACTTACTGGCTGTGTGACCTTGGTTGGGCCAGCCATTTACCATTTTTCAACCTGTTTCCCATTCTTAAAATAGGGTGAAAAATAGGTGTCTTGCAGAGCTATTGTGAGGATTAAATATGTTCACTGTGTAGTGTTCCTAGCATATCTGGGATTTAGAAAGTGTACATTACACAGTAGCTACTGTATTTTTTGCAAATAATTGTGGCTATTTTAAATGATAGATCTGTAGAATTAGAGAAGTACCTTTGAGGCCATCTAATTCAATCACCATCTTTACAAATGTGGAAACTAGTCTAGACGGAGAAGGGACTTGTCCTAGGTCAAGCAGCTAGTTAATGGCAGCACCATACCTGGAACCCCTGATTAATGCTCGCACTGGTACCATACTTGCAGCCCATGAAGGATTCCTTGTAAATGGTGTCTTAGGGCCTGATTTTCACTTTACTTGTAGGGCACATCTGGGGGTGGGAAAAACATGGGGGTCAGAGATTGACCTAAGAAGCCTTCATGTTCTGTGGGTGGAGTTGTGAAGAGGCATGGTTTCATAGTTTTGGGGTTCTCCAGTGAGGAGGGATCACTTTATGGACTTCTAACCAGGAGGCACATTCTCCTAGACTGGAAATTCTGTTGCTTTTCAAGTACAGGTCTCCCCAGACTGGAGGGAGGGATTGCCTCCTGGGAAGGAATGGGCTGTGAGTGGATGCACCTGTAAAGGGGCTTCAGCCTGATTGGTGGTGGTTATTTTCTGTGTATAAACAGGATTTGAGAGAGTGAAAGAGCTGAGCCCAGCACAACATATGGTTATAGTACTGTGTGCTGGGAGGATGCAGTTTTGCTTTTTTGTATTTTAATTTCTCAAAAAAGTCAATGACACATGCACTTAGCCAGGGCAAAGTTAGTGACAATTATATACTTCAGAAATGTTTTTTAGTGTTTTTGAGGTGCATTAACCCTTCTGAGAATCTGATGAAGCTAATGATTCTTTTTCTGGAAAAAAGTGCTTTCAAAACATGGTTACAAAGAATGAGATTTTTAGTGTTTTTGAGGTGCATTAACCCTTCTGAGAATCTGATGAAGCTAATGATTCTTTTTCTGGAAAAAAGTGCTTTCAAAACATGGTTACAAAGAATGAGAAAGATCTCTATGAGCTCATATGGAGTGATTTCCTGTATATGTATTGTTAAGTGTTTAAGAAAAAAAGCAAATAAGTGTACAAGAGTATCTTAGAATGCTACCCTTCCTGTAAGAAAGAAGAGGACATAAAATACTTTCATGTATCTGTTCATTTGTACAAAGGAAATACTGAAACTAATGAGATAGGTTACCTGCCAGGGGTGGGTTGGAAAGGGCTAGAAAGATGTGGGGCATGAAAATAGGGTTAAGGGGAGAGTGACATTTCTCTGAGCCCACCTTTTCTCATTGCTTTGATTCCTAAAGCCATGGCAGTAGTCCACATACCCAAAAAATGAGTACATGATGAGAAGGAGCCAGGATGTGGGGGACCCAGACTGGAACACAGCTACAAGTATGAGTGACAGAGCCTCCCTGAAACATGGAGACAGTATTTTGAGAGACAAAAGAAACCCTACACAAATACTGTACCCTCTTAGTAAACTTGTTTCTCACAGAGGTATGGGTTAGCAATTCTGAAACTACCTTTTGTGTATACTAAGCTTTAATAAATATGTAAATATATTGTGGATAATGAGTCAGGTTTCTCCCTGTCTGGCTTTGGGAAAGTTGGGGTTCCTATGGCCAGGATCCTCACTGAACTTAAACCACCTGATGATGTAACTGGCCCGTTCCTAGGCTACCGCTTCCACACCCTTAGGCAATAAGCTATTACTGAGCTATATAGAGAGCTTGGCCCAGTACTCTGAGTGGAGGCAGAGACACTAGTGCTCGACCTACTGCCGGAGAACAAGCCGGGTAATAAACCCTTTCACCCCAAAGAACGTTTTGCTGTCAATTTCTTTGGTCACATTGAATCCATAACAAACTTGCTGGGGGCTGAAACCCATTGCCAAGACAGTGGGAAAGAAGTTACAAGTAAGGCAAGGAGTGAAGTTAGAACCAACTATCAGTGTGAACACATGGCTGATGGATACAGAAATAAATACAAGGGTGTGAGTTAGTATACATATGTATATTCTCTAGCTCTGTCTGCTGAGAAGATCTGGTAGCAATGATACCCCACTAGCAATGAACCTACTTAGCACCCAGATCCTATTTTTAAGTGCTGTTCTCCAATAAATGGAACCATGGCTCCTTGGGAGAAGAAGCTGTCTGCAGGACTGGGGCAGAGAAAATAGAAGAGGCTGAAACATCTTGTATTGTCAGAGGTAAAGAAGTGCTCAAAAAAGATTGCAGGCATGTTGAAAGAATGTAGGAACCAACCTGAAGGAGCTCCCAATGGCCAAATCTGGAACATTTTGATCAACAAGATAAATATGATAGTATTGGATTATAACCACATAAAATAGGTATCGATGTGTTATACTGCTATAATATAAGTAAGTGATTGAAGAAGTAAATAAATGAGAATAAGGGAAAGGCAGTATGTAGACCACCCTGAAACTCATCTTCTGCAGCAGGGGTTGGCAAAGTTTTTCTGTAAAGGGCAAGATATTTAAGATTTGTGGCTTCCAGGTTGTACAGTCATCATCACGACTCCTCTGCTCTGCTGTTGCGGTGTGAAAGCTGGTATGCTACCTAAATTGAACAGGCATGGCTATGTTCCAATAAGAGATTTACAAAAACAGGTGGCCTGCAGGCCTAAGTTTTTTAACCCTATTCTAGAGAATGCTTGTTTTAGAAGTAGTGGGTAGTTGTTTTTAGCTTTTTACCAAGTACGTTTGTTGAGTTTGGGGGGTAGGGGTCTGACAGTACTGTGTAGGTCTAAAAACACATACTTCTTGGTACAACTTCAGAATTGCAGATTTGGAAGGAAGCAGCTAACTTTGTCCCTTGTTCAGATTTTGTTGTTTTTGTGTGCCTGCCCTGTGTGCTGTGTAGTATGGACTTTGCACTTAGGCCTAGAATGGAAACCTAGCTTTGCATTCCCTAGCTGTGGGATCTCAGGTAAATTGCTTTACTTCTCTGAGTCTCCATTTCCTCATACATAAAATAGTAATATTGTTAATAGCTATGAGGACAGAATTTTGGATGATTTGCTAAGAGAAAAGGACATGTTATACTACATAGTTCTCTTGGGGTGGGGAAGGAGTGAATCATTTTACAAGTCTGTTAGTGGTTTGGTATCACAGACTTCAGATGTGGTTGTTGCATTTAGGAAGACCTCCGTGTGGATGGCCGTGGCTGTGAGGATTACCGATGTGTTGAAGTGGAAACCGATGTGGTGTCCAACACCAGCGGGTCTGCCAGGGTCAAGCTGGTGAGTACCGTGACCACAGTCCATACCCAGGCAGAGTACCGTGACCACAGTCCATACCCAGGCAGAGGTTGGGGTATGGACCACAGTCCATACCCAGGCAGAGAGACAGAGTAACTAACCTGAGGTCACAGAGATGCCTCTGGGCTTCTGGAGTACAGATTGTTCCAGAGCAAATCCGAGACCCAAGCCAACTCTGGAAGGAGGTATGTCTAGATATGAAGGCCTTCACCTTTTCAAAGGGCCATTTTGCAAGTCTCAGCATTGCTCCTAAAAGAGTCCCTAGGGGCATATGTCTGGGAGAGGAGGGAGGTGATAGGGTGCCTGGAATGAAGACCCTTCCTGCATGTGTTTGCAGGGTCACACAGACATCTTGGTGGGAGTGAAAGCGGAAATGGGAACGCCGAAGCTGGAGAAACCAAATGAAGGTTACTTGGAGTTCTTTGTTGACTGGTCAGTACTATGCAGATGTTTCTAAAGAAAAACAATTTAAAAAGATGAGGATTCTGGTTTCCTATTGAGCACACATTTATTTTGTATTTACTTGGCATTCATCTAGCCAGCAGGTATTTACTGAGTTCCTCCTATGTGCCTGGCACTGGGATATGTAGGAGGAGGTCTTGGCTTGAGTCCTGCCCTTGTTCTAGTACCCTGGCTTGCTGCTGGGCCTCATTTTCTCTGTCTGAAAAAGGAGGGTATCTGCAAGGTAGCCCAGCACAAGCACATAGTTATGAGAGTCAAATGAAATGGTGGGTATTATGGTGCTTTGAAAAATATCACACATGAATGATAAGGATCATGTGGTCTAAGATGCCCTGTTTCTCTGCTGCTCTAGTTTTGCAGAAAATTTCATGACTTGCTGGGCAGAACAGGACTAGGGCCAGTCAAGCAGCCTGATAGACTGAGAGAGTGGCAGCTATGTAGGCAGTGTGGGTGCTGGGAAGAGCAGGGACTCTGCCATCCATAGCCAGCCAGCCTTGCTGCAGGCTTCCTCTTTCGCCTCCATCTCTGTGACCTCAGGTTAGTTACTCTGTCTCTCTGTGCCTAAATTTCTTTATCTAAAAAATAGGAATAATAATACTGTTGTAATGGGAGGAAATGAAATAATGAATACAGAGTGAACATAAACACAATGACTGGCTCCCAGTGGGCTTTCAATAAATGTTACTTCTCTCCCTCTTGTTACCAACCCCTTCTAGGGATTGGGGCTTTTTAAGGGGTTGCTGACTCAGTCTCTTCTGTCTGTTACTTCTGACTAGGTGGTGACATGCCCTTTTTGAGGTGAATAAGGATCTCTGTTGGCTCATGGCAGCTGCAGGTATATAGTAATGGTACTGTATTAGTGGTCCCAAGGCCATGCCCCTGTTGGAGATCTGCTGAAATGACTCACAGGTCTTAGCATATAGCTGTACCATGGCTAAGATGTATTACAGCAGTGAAAATGTAATACCCTATATGATGACTTGCCTAAGAAAGCCCATTGGAGACCCAGTACCCAAGATTTTTATTGGGGCTGGCCGCCTTCTGCTGAACACATAACCAAAATTCCAGACTATTAGAAGAAAGCACATGTCCAGCATAAACCATATGATTTGCACATCTGGGTGGACAACAGTTCGCTGCTGACTGGAACACTTGTAGAGCCAAGTTTCCAGATGCCAGCTCAGGTCTAACCTTGCAAGGAGGCCTTCTAAAGATAGTAGATTTGGGCCTGCAATGTCAGCTCTTTTCTACACAGATGCTACAACACTTGGACAGTCAGTTACAGTCTTCCAGCTTTCAGTTACACACACAGACGTTGGTCCTTTAAACACACCTGTAAGAGAAATGACAAGTGGAGTTCAGGGAGGGTAAGAGGCTTTCTTAGGGTCATGTAGCTAGCAGTGCCTTTGCTCTTTCAACTTCATGGAGCCTACAGAAGCATATTTCAAAGGATGTTAGAGTTCCCAGAACATATCTGAGTTACCTTTCTGGCCAGTTTTCTTTCTAGACTATTCCTGCCCTCCTGTCCCTGCCCCAGGCCCCCTTGCAGGCTCCTCTCCTGGTTCTATGCAGTCACTCTCACCAGTCTGGGTTGCCCACTGGAACTGGCCCATCTGTTAAGTTGCTATGGATGATGGTGACTTTGCTCAGGCCTCCATCTTATCCCTTTGCCCTTAGGAAGAAAAATACCTCTCATGACCTTGATCTGCCTAATTCAATTCAGTCAACAGTCTCTGAGGAGCAGACACCATGTGTGAGGAACTGTCATTTGCTTTCCTTTTCTTCCTCTTCATTATCTTCTCCCTCATTCATCTTAGGCAGACCAAAGATGGTCAGCCCAATGATACCAAAGAACGGGATTGCACTGAGATGCTTGGTAGGGGGACAAGGTTCACTATGGCTCTTATGTCTGAACATGACTAGAGATTTGGCATGCTGCTCATTTCTTTCATGTCCCAGGTATAAAGAGAGGGTGGCTTCAGAGTGAGATGAGGCATGGAGCTGTGTCTTCCCAAGATTAGCTTCTAGTATAGCCTCTGTCTCCTGGTTGAGAGATGCTCCCTGCTGGTCTCCTTTCTGCCTTTGTAAGTCTGCAGAGGACCTCAACTGGCCCAGAAGCTCCAGTTCCCAGGGAGTTCTCCTGAGTCTCTTTTTCAAGATAATGGTCTCAAGGTGGCACACTGTGGGGAAGTTGGGGTTCCTATGGCCAGGATCATCACTGAACTTAAACCACCTGATGATGTAAGTGGCCTGTGGCTGGGCTCTGCTTCCACGCCTTTAGGCAATGAGCTATTATTGCGCTATATAGAGAGCTCGGCCCAGTGCTCTGGGCAGAGGCAGAGACACTAGTGCTTGACCTACCA